AAATGTCAATAACTAAATTTTTGTTCAGCGCATAAACAGCCACGCCGCCTTTGTTCCTATAACAACGACTAGATCCTATTCCTCTCAGAGATTGTATAAACTAGGAATATTGACGACAATCTCTGCTTTTTCTGGTTTGAGATGTTTCTATTACAACAACACACACATTGATGTCGTTATTCATCAAATCAGTTTCCAAGGCTACAACTGTTTTAGCTTTGCTCTTAGTTGGATCTTAGTTTTTTTTTGCTTAGTATTTATTGCTGTCTGAGTAATTCTGAGTATTGTGAATCAATTTAGTCTGCCACATCCAAGGCCAGCTTTGAAACTTGATGTATACTCTGTACTCTTTGGCCTGATCCACACCACCAAATAATACATACAGAACTCACGTTAAGCACTGTGCTACTGTAATAAACAGACGTCACGAAACACCTATTATCGTCGTTCGTTTGTTCATTATTATACTTTCGTGACGGTTTTTTTTTTCTGCGACGTGCACATTCGTTTTCCATATGTATAGGTCGTTTTCAGTTAGGCTCCGAACATAAATCCAGCCTCCAAAGTTAATGCTTTTCAATTTATTAACCCAAAGAGAAGAATTTCGGCTACACCTATCATACAGAGAAAGTTATCTTTTCACCAACCAGTCTTTCTGTAGCTCTAAACATTGTTTCATTTTAAGACGTTCTAAAGATTCAACAGCTGAAACCCAAGAACCCTTATCCTATGCGGTAAGAGTCACATTTCCCTGTAAGTTTAAAATGCTAGCTGCAGCTAATGGCTCATCGTAAGTGTGCTGGAGGGTAGCCCGGTTTCAGAGGCATTAATAGGCTGGGAGTGCTGATACTCGGTGGAAACTAGGATGTCCGTACATGGCCGGGTTACCCTTCAGACTTTTTGGTTTACTGACATTTTCTCAGTATTCTGATACACTCTTGAGTGGAGACGGGCACTGAGAGAATATTATTTGTGAGAGGAAAACAACACAGTGACCTAGCCGCAGCTGAACCTGGAACTTTCATCCGGCGGTAAGGGCCAACTAAGAATACCAACTCTGATACAGCGAGGCCTTGGTCAATCCGAAAGATGGCGACAACGGATTGGAACGGATTGGAATGTGTTGCGGCGTATGGTCTGTACATTTGAGTGATGGTGAACGAGAGCCGGTCAAGGCCTTTGGATCGGTCAATATCACAAAACTGTTATTATAAATTATCTTTGACGAAAATTAATTAAATTATCTTTCTTCATCGTGATAAGTGCGGATATTGACTGTGACTACGGGTTAACAGCTGTAAATATTTCTAGTTATGATAACAAACACCAAAACCAAAAACATAGAAACTATTCTTCTCTCAATGTTGTTACTCTCCTTGGCTTACAACTGAAAAAAAAAGATAAGGTTGTCCTTAAAACAGAAGACCCTACCTTAGATATTAATTTTCAGCAGAACTGGATAAGAAAATTTGTCAAATACAACTTGATTGTACATAGATTAATTAAAGAAACCCGAATGGTACAGCATGTTTGCCTATTTTAAGTCCTCCTCAATTGCCGATAAAGAATTGGTTTATGCTTAGCAAGGGTATTTCAAGTTATGGATGGACATGAGAAGCTTTGAGAGCACGAGAGAAGCGCAAGAGTTGCTCCAAGTGCAGTCGAGAGCAACTCTAGCTTCTTGATTGATCTGCAAACTTTGTAAGTGCACCCATATGCGCACAGCTAAAGGGGTGAACCGAATCTTACATAATATACCATGCAGACAAAATTCGTGCACTGAAAAAGGGTTTAATTAAAATTGTGTCGGGTTTACCACTGAGGTAAATGTGTTTTACCCGAAAACTATGAATAAATAACTACGCAAAACGACCAAGAAATATTTCGAGACCAAAACTTGATTATCTAAGGTTGTTTTCCAAAAATAGGGTGCCTGGAATGGATGCTGTCAGGCTTTCCTGACAGCTTTTTGGATCGGATTTGTCAGAGAAGAGAGTCCTGTTCAATTACGAACGAAACACAACCATCCAGTCTCTGTCCGTCAATTGGTCGAAGAAAGAGAAAGAAACCGACGAGAACTCTTACTATCTGGGTAAACCATTGTTGAAAAATTCGTTGTCAGAGATCTTGGCGCTCATTTACTCTTTCTATAAAATACAAAACAACCTACGGTGTCATAATGATTCCTTACAAGACCTTGTTAGCAAAATAAAGTATTTCAGGAATAGTGATTGAAACACTGAATTTTAATTATTTTAAGGATTAGACTAGAATTATGTTTTTGCTATTTTTGCACAATTGGCAGTCGTTTTTGTGCAATTAGTTTGTATCATAAGAGGTTTTTTCCTATAACAATATCAATTTTTGGAAGGTAAGTTAAATGTGTTACGTGCTCATGTATGGTATCACGTTTGTGTCAATCGCGTGTAAAGATTTGAAGGTGTCAATCGGCTATGTTCTAATACTGGCGTTTATCGATAGAGCCAAGAGAGGCAAGAGAAATTAAAATAAGCCCTTTTTCACAGGGAGTTCGATTGAACCGAGTTCGAGTTGACTGAAAGCAAATGACTGAAAAATGGAGTAAAATCAAAGGAAAGTCAGATTTTGTTCAAGTTAGCGGGGGGTTCGAGTCAAAGGGGTTGTACTGTATGCTTATTTATTCTCTTACTTTATTTAATGGTATTTTTTGTGGTATACATTATATTTGTAAGACAGAGTCGTGGGGCAGATGATGGATAGCTAAGTGAAAGATATGATTACTCTGACAACTTATTTTCTCATCTATTTTCCTCTCTTGAATAGCATTAATATTCTTGATATTTGTTTGTTTTGTGCGCATCGACATCAACATTAAATATTCCATTTTAAAAATGAAATATCTCCTTTATTTTCCAGTATTACAGTTTTGCAAAACTCACAATATTGCCGTGAAAACTTAAAAGCAATACTATGTTGCAAATAGATGTCATCTTTGAAAACTTGTCTGTTTTTGACCAATTTTCTTGATCAGTAGTAGTCTGCACCTATTTCCATGAAATGGGTATTTTCTATTTCAAGCTTTTATACGCTCTGCTTGAATTCCTACACACATACGCAAACTTCTACAGAGACCTTGAACTTTTTTTAACGTATGTAATAATAAAAACAAGACGTTCGTTTCGAATCACATTTTATGAATTTTATAAATATAATCATGCTTCTGATAAAAGCAGGAACATATGGAATTAAGGTTTTGGGACCTGATCATTATTAGCCGAAATTTACATAATATTTACAGGGCTGTTCAATTCTTACGATTGCTTAATTGAATAATTTATGACTGCATGAAATATATTTTTCAAGTCTCCCCAATGTGCCAGCTTTAAGACTTTAAAACATATCTTGAAGTTGGAAAACTAGGAAATTTAAGACAATTTAAAGCGCTCACCTTAGATTCTCTGAATTTTGTTTTTTCACAATTTAGTTAACCCCATTGAGGGTCTCAGTGGGGTTAACTTTTAGCTGCAAAAAAAAAAGTAAATAAAACGAATTTTGCCGAATGACGAATTGACTGATAGAGACGAGTTATTTTATCTTCTGCATGTACCACAAAGATTAACAAATGATGTATCCTTTTACTTAATTCGTTGCTATGCCTGGTTAATCAGCCTATCAACCTATAAACTCGACAGTACTTTTCTCTTTAATAATAATCCTGCAAATGAGATGTTTGGTGTGTTTTCCTATCAGTTGGGCTCCTTGGGGTTCTTTTCACCTGGATCAGACCGAATACCGCTTTAATCTATAACACTCAAATTCTGAGCCAATCATAAACCTCACAAGGAACAAAATAGCATAAAAAAATGCATGTCCTCGTACTTTCGTAATATCAAAAGCGGCTAAAAGAAACCTCTGAAGCTTTTCAGAAGTCACCAGCTATGTCCGAACGGAATTGCTCGAATTGCTTTTCAACATGGTGTTTTTGAACAAATTTTATTTCTTCCTAGTTTTGTTATCTTTCTTGATGGTAGAAGATGCAGGAGGAGAAAGTGAGTTACAGTTTTATTATCTGAGCAGAGTTTTAGTCGCTAATGTGCACCTTAGGTTTTATTTTCTTGATCGTTACTTCCTTCCTTAGATGAAGTGTCTATTCTTGAAGTGACTTGAACTTAGCGTACACACCTTTAAGATAATTTTTGAAGAATATGGATTTCACGGAAACAGTCCTCTGACATTTTGACTCGTAGTTCAAAATGATAGCAACGCAGCTTCACTCCTTGGTGTTGTCAGATGGAAAATTACTCTCAAAAGCTATAAGACCACACAAACCCATGGTCAGTAAAACTGCTTCTGGCAAGGGAATTGTACCCTTATTCCCGACAATCCCGACATTTTGGTCTTCCTCTCATCTGGATATTTTGGATGGATTATCTTCACCATGCCAACACGTACCACAGAGAATTTAATCATAATTCACACTGCTATTTCAATTATTCCCTCGAGGGGATATTACAAAAGGTTGTAATTCAGAGTTAGTAGGGGACTCATCTTTTCAAAAAGCCATGGATTCATAAAACTAAAGGTAATCAAAGAACGCGCTCTTCACTTAGTGCTTGCAGGAAGGAAATATTAATTCTAGTATGCTGCTCTCTACAAACTTGACCACTCCTCGACTGTTTAAGAGATAATGACAGGTAAAAGCGACCTAAATATGCTGTGAATTCCAAATTATACCTCGTAAAAGAGTTGCATAGTCAATAATGAATTATTGATCGGTTATCAGTGAAACCTTTAAAGTGGACCTAATTTAATGCATTAGAAATGTTTCCTTTCTCGAAATAGTGTTCGTTTTCATTTATTACGACTTCCTACTAAAGACAGACTACTGCACAAGTTTTTTTGAGCAAATCTTAATTTTCCCTTGAAAAAGAAAATTGCTTCTTTCCTCGTCAAGATATGAAGTTGCTGTAAACTTACGTAAAGTCAAATGGTGCTGATCATATTATCTTCAATTCTTTATAGATCTATGTCGTAAACTGGAATTTACATCATCTCTTGCTTTCCATGGTAAACGACTCATAAATCACCTAATAAGAACCGTAGAATCCCTTGTGCAAGACTTCTGCTCCACTCTATGCTACATGGAACTCAATTGCGTCAGCTACAACGAGGTAGTGATTAGCAGCTCTCCGACAATTACTAAATGTGAACTGAATAATTCCACGCACAATGAACATCCCCAAGATCTCAAGCCCTGGGCAAATTACAGCTATGGAGGAACAATGGTCAGTGTATTCTTAAGCAAGTGAGGCCTTCCCTTCATTAGTTTCCCTTTGTATTGTTAATTGATAAATTCTCCAACGGCTCTCCTTTGAGCTCTTCAATAGCTCTCCGTCCATCACTAAATGCGAGCTGAATAATGCCACACACAGTAAACATCCTCAGGACCTTAGGCCCTGAGTGAACTACAGCTACAGAGGAACAATGGTCAGTGCATTCTTAACCGATTTACCCATCATGTCATAATTTCTTTTATAGTAAATTTCCACTTATCAAGTTATTCACATGGTAGTTCATTGGCTGACCGTTTTCCTGTAATCACCATAGATTACATTTCAACTGTAATTTCAAATTATCGTAACCATTTGCTTCTCTCATTTACATACTTTTGCGCTCAACCCCTCTCACGACACTTGTTAGAACACTTGTGGACAAACTCCTTGCCAACACGATGGGACTTGTCAGACTGGATTTACAGACAAAGGGTATAGATGTCTTTGCCCAAAAGGATACGAAGGCAGCAATTGTGAGATAATTAATGGTATGTAAAACGCTTTACTCCATGAAAAAACTTTAAATGAGAACAAATTTTGGTTATCTATCGATGAATCAAGCCCCATCCAAAAGTCCCTTTTTATCCCTCTCTGCCTCTCTGCACTCTAAGTCTGTTTGTCTTCCTTTTCTTTTCCAGCAGCTGCCGTCTTGCCATCTAACTTGATCATCATCCTGTTTGTATATTTTTTTGTAAAAAATCAAGAAAGCCATCACAAATCTACTGATTTTTTTTTTCCAGCCATGGGATGGATACAGATGCCGCCGTCTACAGTTTGCTTTGGCGCCAAAGATGATTCGTATGGTATCTTTAGAACAGCCATTTCAGGTAACATCACTACATTCAAATTAACATACCAACATGGTCATGTTACCTGTCATGAAGCGGACCCAAGCTATCAGTCCAAGTGGGGTTGCCTTTGGCCTCCTCTCATTCCTAACCAAATGGCCACTTTGATAACTGACAATGACCGTAATCTCCTCCTGCCTACTAACGATTACCGATCAAATTTTTTGGGATGTACGTTTTACAGCTTTCCTTGGGCCACAACGGAATCGCCAGATCTGCTCTTCGATAACTTTTCTTCCCCGCTGATGGTGGAGTCGAACCAAGAATTCCAAATCTGGTTCAGTGAGGACTTATTAAGATGGGGCCATTCTGATAACGGATTGGAACGAACATGTGTTGCAGTGTATGGTCTGTATGTTTGAATAGCGGTGATCGCGTTGCCCAACGTTGTTTCGGAACTTTCGCAAAAATTCATATTTCATTGTAAGTAAGAAAATAAGATATTAAGAAAGAAACAAATTCCGGCTCATATAAGCTAAAAACAATAATTAATTCATCAACTGAAGGCAATCAAAGAGCTCCCTCCTTCCGAAGAAATTTCTGAAGGTTAACTCAGGGCTTGAAGGAAGGATATAATAGTGCGGGCATTTTGCATGCGATAAACTGAACCATTACGAGACCGCCTGAGCGATAATAACAAGTAAAAGCCACCTAAAAATTCTGTGAATCAAATGCTGGTCTAAAGGTCTAAATTTTAGCACCTCCTGGGTATTGTGTTTTGTTATCAAGGGAGAAAAAATTCTCAACAGGCCTGTCTATCTTTACCAAGTATGGATGAGCAAACTACCAGTAAATTCTGTTTCTGAAATTAAAAATACTCCTAAAAACGGGATGAAATTTAGCAAGGTGGCTAACACGCCAATCAGTAAGGTCACATAAACGTAGCTCAACATTTTCACCTTGTGTACTAGGCAAACAGAGACCAAATGCAACTGGGTTTCTGAAGGGGAAGGATCAAAATTCCCTAATTATTGGGTTTTGCTGCACCACTATATATTTCGAATGGCAACTTTTTCCCGAGTGAATTGTGTCCAGAGTTCATTGAAGAGGGAGGCCTTTGATCAAACCTTCGGAACGGTCAAAGTCATTAAAACTATTAACTTAACAAAAATTATTTTGAAAGGAAGTCTGTTTAACTAAAAAGTCCAAACGATAGTGACGGAAAATTTTGTAAATGAAAATTGTACGACAACGACGGGCAATGCTTTTTCTTGAGGAAGGGTTCCGGTGCGAACGTGTGGAAGACAAACGCTTCCGTTTCCTTCAAAAATTAAAATAACTTCGGTGGAATATCTCAACCAATGCCCTGATTGTAACTGTCTGTCTCCTCTCTCTGTCTTGATCAGAGGACCACAATGAGAACTACTGGTTCTACCAGTAATAATGTAATCCAATAAAGTCATTATTATTGTTATTATCAGGGAGAATGTTAACTGTATTATGTTCTTTTATTTTCTTCTATGGATTTACTGCAGCAGATATTAAACAAATATTGGATAAAGTTTAACATGATATCACGAATCATCAAAAGTGAAGTCTGAGTGATCTGCTGAAGCCAAATGCTGAGGCAGATAACACAGACGTGAAGTTTGATACCTCATGATACTATACGAAAACCGAATTCAATAATTGTTTTATTACTCATGTGTTTAAGTAAAGAGCAAAAGAAAACACTTTTTTCTGAGTTTGCAGAAGGATGTTAACACAACACGGACGGGGGAATGGGTAACTAGGCAGTCTTTGAACTTGGCATGATAAATGAAATATCTGCTTCAAATGTTTGCCGTAGATATCTGATCGAATGCTCCCGACCGATCAGATTTTCATTGTAAGTCTAATGTATCACAAATGTAGTTAAACAGAAGGAAACTCTTATCCTATTGATATCGATGTTACTCACCATGGCTTACGCATGAAAGAAAAAGAGAGATCGTCCTTAAAAATGGAAAAGCTTAGCATCATAGATGGAGAAGACCGGAAATATATTTTCAAGGCTTTCTTATGTATCTTGAAAGAAAAATTGAAACATGGAAATAAATCGCTATAGCAAAAAAATCTCTAACCACCTTCAAAAAAAAAAAACTTAGATTAAGTTTAAAATAAAAAAGTTTCCAAATGCTTGATATTGCTAAGTGCCTTACGTAGTGTCTACAAGACATAAATGTTATTTAAATGACACCTTATAAAATTTAATGTTTAGATCTCGCTCGCTATGGCTATTTTATTTACCTGGTTATTCTTATCATTATTAACATTATCAATATGTCATTTAAGTTAGCGTTGCTATTATTCTAATAAAAACAACAATTTCGGTATGAGAACATGTAAAGTGTGTTCATTAGCAATGTAGTTTACGCGAGCGATGTAAAGCTGCCAGTGTGTGCACGTAAACTACGCGCATGTTAGGTATCTGTGTAAGCAGTGTAAACTAGATTGGTTTACTAAGTTATGCTTATTATGTAATTATGTTAACCTCGTAACTTATGTAGTTTGTAAGTACTGTGTAAGTGACTGGATGAAATAAATTTTAAAACCTTATGGACAGATAACTGTGCCATTGGCCACTGATAGGTTTCTCTTTGGGAAAGTTTTTGGTAAAATACTCTCTTCAGACATTGACAACGTCCAATTCAGAAAGGAGAGTGTCTTCCAATCCGGGAGCAATAAATATTTTACTTTTTTGAAGGATGGCGGTTCTTTTTCCACAATGGAAATTTTACTTCTGAAGTTGTGCGACTTTTAGTATTTGTTTTTATCAAAAATTGGATAAAATCAGTCATCAAGAAGGAAAGCGTTTCTCTCACAATTTCATTGCTCATAAATTTCATTTAAGTTATGTACATGTGTTTGCCAAACTTTGCGACGAACAAATAATTCTTCTAACCTTCCCATGGAAATTTCCTCATTATTATGAGGTATACGAAGAGTCCGACGCAAAATGCAGTTGTGGTGTCCAGGAAGTCAAATTATCGTTGCTCACAAGGCGGTCGTCATTTCATTGCGAATTAAGGGAGTTTCTCTGGTGTAAGAACATCTGCTTCCAAAATAGATTAGATGTGTCTAAACAGATTTTAGAATTTTATCATTACTCCTTGACAGATGTCAGGGTCTCGAGGAATAATTGTGTTGATATCAGTCCTTTCTTCTTTCTCACAGGTTGATCACTTTTCCTCTCATAAAAAAAGGCCTCTTGTCTTTCATAATTGCTGCTGATAATAACTTAAAAAAACTGCCTCTCTCTATAAGAAACTCAATCCACTGCATAACCTACCACTTGTATTAATTATTTCCAATCTTGCAAAATAAAAGCCTGATGTTTTTAATTTCGAGGGCTACACAGAAACAAGCAGTTATCTATGGAAAACATGTCTATCATTTTCTGTTTTTGCAGTAACTGTTTTTGAAAGGTGTTGTTCTTCTCGGAAGGTGAGCATGTTCCTTTGATGTTAAATCTATTAAAAGTGAAAGGCTACAGTCACACTTATTTGACAGGTTACCGAAAAAATAAGATTGGACAATCCTTTGAGAATGCCGTAATACATCGGTGACTTGTTCTGACTTATCAATAGCGAAAATAGCCTGAAATCATCGGAGGGGTGCATGTTTTTTCATGGTTTCACTCAAATCACTTCGAATAAACCACCATTACAGTATGTCGTTTGCAGAAGAGAGATTATATAGCCCACTTTATCTTCGTGTTTGCTTTAGTATGTCTAGAAGACATAAAACTCGTTTCTTCCTTATAATGCTAGAATAAAAAACAGCCCTTCGCCCACCTGTGAAAAGGAAAAACTGTTCTTGGGAGGCAAGCACATGATGTTCAGCCTCCAATCCCTGAGAAGTGATTGTCTCGGATTCTTCATTTTTCCCTTGATCCAGCTCGTTCAGACCCTCCAGCAAATCCCCGCTGATTTCTACTTTTAGTTCCCTTCTACACTGTCTGAAACATGTGCTGACTCCAGTTTATCTGCAACACCAGTACATAAATCACCTTGACAAGGATTACAAGAACTTTTTCCCTAGCGGTCTCATAGTCAGCGGAGGATCAACAGTAATCGGCTTTTATTAGAACTCCTGCCTTAATATAAGGTCTATTTTTTTAAAAGTGGGTGTACATTATCAGGTACAAAACAGGCATTTTAACTCCTTCGTTCCTACGAGTGGCCAAAGGATTTCCCCTCACAATGCCAATCTATTTCCTTTGGGTAATAATAATTTTCCATCTAAAAGGATGAACAGAAAGTTTTTGCTTCACATTCCTCAGAGACTTCCACCAGATAGTACTCGCTGGCCTTCCCAGGCAACTGAAACTTCTTGACTATTAGTCGCAGCGCTTCTGAACATGCAGTCTTGGACGATAAGGGAATGGATCGGTAGTATAACGTCTTCATACCCATGAAGACGTGCAACATCTGAAAAAAAAAAAGCAAAACAAAACAAAAAAAAAACAGTGAAATGAATGAAATTAATAGAGCATAGCACGATCTATATATCTCAGCTGAAAAACGAGTGACCATGGTGATTTTAATGCCCTCCGAATGGGTTTGTAAAGCGGTAATTTTCACAGGAGAAAATCCGTCCTCTAAATTACTCAATAATCATTTAATACGATAATTGGCGTGTAAATATCAAGATTAACTATGCGTTACGTCTTGAGCCGATGACAAAAGAAAACTTAGGCTCTGTACTACTGAGTTGGGAGAGGTTTTGTTTTAACTTCCAGTTGAGTGAGGTATTGTAAGGTATTGTAACTTCCAGTTGAGTGAGGTATTGTAAGGTATTGTAACTACTAGTTAAGAGAGGTATTGTAAGGTATTGTAACTTTCCGTTGAGAGAGGTATCGTAAGGTATTGTAACCTCGAGTTGAGAGAGGAATTGTAAGTCCCAAGAACTCAACACAAAGACCCTTACCAGCGTTTGAGCCCCAACTGTTTGCCATGAAGTTCAACCATTTGGCCTGCATTTCTCTCACACCTCAATCACTCCATCATCCCTGCACCTTAATTCAAAGCGCTTTTTGTCATTAGGATCAGCCTAACGACACTGACAAAACAGAGGGCATCAGTAAGATCATGACGTAAACCTGAAAGGAAAGTGAGCAGTTTACATCAATGTTGATGACAACAAACAATATATTTCTGAGGAGAGGGACGATAAAAATTCAAAAATTTATCAGCTGGAATTGTTGATCAGATCCTGGTTGCTTTAAAAGAGGATAATACCGTCGAAATACCGAAACGTGATAGGATAACGATTTATGTGTCGGACATTGCTACGAACTTTGAAAAACAGAAGCTTAATGTGCATCACATTCTCGTGACCAATATTACAAAAGGAATGGAAAGGATTAAGGAGAAATGCTATTCTGATAAGGCGGTGCAAAAAATCAGCATAGATGCCATTTAAGATAAAAAATGACACTTCTCACAAAACTTTTCAAAGCTTTCCTTTTTTTTAATCCATCTTGTATTTATTGAGACAACATGCGAAAGTAGTCACTCGTTGCCTAGTCGATTTAGGGAATCAGTTTTTTAAGGACACGGCCTGTTTCGAGGAGAGCCACGGTAAGTTCTGTCTATACAGCCAATTGAAGCTGATGATCAATTCACAGAAACGTGGGAGATTTGATAAATCCTAAACTGTCTTATACAAAACCAAGGACTTCCAACAGGAACATGGAATCATCTGTCAATTACACTTCTACTAAAATAGACTCGTAATTAGAAGATATGTTTACTTCATGAGCGAAGTTGCCGGACGCTGCATATTAATAAAACGACCATTCAAGATAGATATTTTATCTTTCTGTAGGAGAAAAAAAGAAAAATACTCTGAATATGTTTATTGATCGTATGAATTTTGAATGTGTCGAAGAAATATCTAAAGGAGCTTCTGGCCAGGTGTCTGCTTGCCCTGCTGGGGGTAGAATATTTTCACCTGTCATTTATTTGACTTTCCGGAGGATATGTTTACAACGTAAAAATTGCGACATCATATATATCTGCTAATATCAAATGGTATTCCCTCAGTCCTGAATCTTTCTATCGAGCGAAACAAAATCGTCAAAGAGGTTCTAAGTCGCAAAATTTATGATTGTATTCGTTATTTTATTTACCTCAATACCCTTATAAGGCGAGAAATGACAAATGCCAACTTTGTTGACTTTAGCTTCATAAAATGCCACCTTTTATTAAAACAGGTTGAATTAAACCGCTTAATTAAAGACCGTTGTCTTGGAGTAAGCATGGACTTTTCTGCGCTTTTCATGATTGTATCCTACATTCCTTTTATGACTTATTTAACGTTTGGTAAAGGTGAGTTGCAAACTGGGATTCATTTATTCTAAGATTCATTTATGGTTGTATCTTCTTTCATTTGTCTATTCAATCGATTTCACTGGTATAAAACTGTCGCCGCACTCGGCTTAATAATTAACATGTCGGTGAGATATAAGTTAACGCTTTTTCGTCACCCTAAATCCAAACCCTGTGTTCACCTTCCATCAATGATTTATCAATCGTTTTGGAAAATTTTTGTGGTATCCCATTCCAAAGAAAATTAAAAATTAGTCACAGGGTAACTCGCAACGGCGGTGGCTTCTAATTATGCTTATGCTTATGCTCTCCTATCAATAACATTCACCAGGGATACTGGTAAAATGTAAATCATCATAGTTTGGAAGAGGAGAATTTGAAGTTTTTACATTGTAGAGAAGTAGATTTTCACCACCCGTAACCAACATGAGGAATCATTTTAAAATAAAAATAATGCTGACATATGGAATCAACGATTTACATTTTCATCGTTGTCTATTTGTTAAGAGAAATTACTTCCATATATCTACCGAAAATTAAAAAGATAGCATTTTTTTTGTTGGCAAAGGACAGCTCGCGATACGAACACGTTTTAGGATTACGTTTGAAGGAAGACTTCAACAATCTCAAAAAATAATCAGTGACCTTAAGTGGAAATGCTCTAGTTAAAATTTGCTTAGACGTTTCGTGCAGCTTGAAAACTTTCTTCGCTTTCGAAACTCAAGCCTCTCCGTCTGCTGTTCATGAAAAGTATTTCAGTCGTCAAATTAATTTTCCTTTATTTTTTCTTTAACCTCTGATGCTTTGACCAAAAGTTTTTTTTTAGCGGTTAATAATAATGATACGAACCGACGGTGATATTTTTGGACTGGTAATCTGAGGGAGCTGCAACTTGAAACGAGTGGCAGTTTTCAGCCATCAAAAAGTGATAATAAACCATGCCAATCTCCACAGTGAACGCGTGCAAAAAAAAAAAGCAATTTGACCATTCCTTGTCTTTGAATGTCAGTTTGACTTTTTCTTTATCTTGAACTATCTAATGTTAGAGAAAAGTTGGTCTTTTTAACGTTTACTGAATCATCTTCTATCGCAATATCAATCAACAGCGTGATGCTAGACAACGATGGATCATACGTCAATATACACAAACTTCCTAAATTAAACTACCTTAGCGGTGACAGCGAAAGCGAGAAAGGCAAATAAAAACAAACTTTTAATTATCTTCAGGTTAAAGGACATCTTGGGAGCGAACCCTTCTCACGACCAACGATCTCGGAAACAAAAAAATTCCATCATTTAGATAATTTGATGTTATCTTTTTTTTATCTCCAAAGTCATCCCTCTGGCCATTAAAAAAAATCCCGTTTTTAGAGTTTCTTTTTAACACGTCCTCATTCCTCTTGCCGTCATGGTGTGCTTGAGATCGCAAATTTCCTCCAAGGAATTCAGTCTCTTGGCAAAATGTGCATGATCATGATTTTATTTCTGCCTAAGATTAAAACAAAAGTTTTCTAAGTATATTTTGATTGCTTTATTTTAGAGCGAAATCGCACGATGAGGTTTCCAGATTACTACTTCTTTCCTGAAAGACGTTTGGTAAACCATAAAATTGTAACTAAATACGTCAAAGACTTGGATCGCTGTGAGCTTTTCTGCTACATGAACGACAACTGCGTCAGTGCTAACTTCAAAAAAGATCCCGAGGATGAAGGAATCGCTTATGTCTGTGAACTGAATAACGCCACTCATCTTGAATATGATACTGACCTGATAACTGATGCCGCTTTTTATTATCGTGGCTCAAAGGTAAAATTTTTAGCATAAGTCAAATTCAGCAATTAGACGCTTATCGATGAATCTTGAAACCAGCCGACGTGTAATAAAACTTCCGTTCGTTCATTCATCTATCTTTTTTTTAATACATCGATCTTTCTTCTTTCCTCTTTTTTTTCTTTTCTTTTCAGAACGCTTGCAGTAGAAACCTACTGTGTCAAAATAATGCAACTTGTCAGTCCGGTTTCACAATCAAGGGATATCGATGCTCGTGCCCTTCTGGATTTGAAGGAGAACATTGCGAAAAAGGTTAATTTTAGAATATTCCGATTAGAACAAAATATTTCCTAGAGTATTTGAACCGCCCATACATATATACATATATATATATATATATATATATATATATATATATATCACTTTTGCCCATCGGGTGCGTATCTTAACGAAAGGCCGCCACGGCTGACCTTTGACAACCCATGTGCAACGACAATTTGGAATGGTGGTTAGAGTGGGATTCCGCTTCGGTGGAAGTTTTGGTTTAGTCCAATTAAACAATTAATTTGCCACAATGATAACTAAAAAAAATGCTTTTTCGCCTCACAAGAGTTTAAAAACGAATGTATATCTCACTCGTAGCAGTACCACTACCGTTATAGAATTTTTCTATTATTTCCCATTTGTTTAGATATTGATGAATGTCACAAAAATACTCACGATTGTCACCTGAACGCTACTTGTCAAAACAAAAATGGTTCCTTTGAGTGCACCTGTTTATTTGGATTTAAGGGAGATGGACGGAACTGCACAGGTAATACACTGGAGATGGACAAACTTGCTCAGGATATTTTAATAAGTAAACTTTAATGTCCAGAAAAGTCCTTTATGACCGTAAATAGGCGACCTTCATTGCCGCTCTATCTATACATACAATCCCAACTATTCAAGGCTGAGAGTAATCTGAAACGTCTTTTTAACTCAAATTATGGTGCCGAAAGTAGTCAAACACATTCTAAATTGTAGTTCTACCCCATAATTCATCCCTCATTAGAAATGGTGGATAATTTTATTTTGTCTCACATCTTTTTAGATTAGGTTTGCAGTATTTTGTACAGGTATTAATTATATCTTGATTCAAAAAAACATTTTTCATCATAACATCCAACTCTGGGTTGTGTCGCGGTACGCTTGATCCCCATCAGACATCGACGAGTGTTCCAAAATGAACATCTGCGATGAGCACGCCTCCTGCAGTAACACCCAAGGCTCTTATAATTGTGCCTGTAATCCTAAATACATTGGGGATGGTTTGACTTGTAAAGGTTAGTCTCTTTTAATCCATGCCTTAAAAATTTTTAGAGATTGTACTGGCTGAACACGCTGTAAATATTGTTTAGTGAATGGCTATTCTCCTTTGGCCATGTAACAAATCACATTGGTTTTCGACGAACCATAATGGAAAAGGGAAGATATATTTGATTTTTTATATCATATTTGTAGACTTGATGTACATGGCTTTTGTCTTCTAGGAGAGAAAACAGTGATCCCCATTATCTTTTCTTGATGATACCTAATTGTTCTTGTAAATTGAATTATTATGAGGCTGTGCCTCGAAAAGATTGAAAGGAATCAAACAGAATAATCTGACCGGCTAAAATCGATGTTGACCGCGGTTAAGATTTTCCCATTTTGATCTATTAAGGTGATTTCTCAGAAAAAAAGTTATGTGACAATCTTTTTGAAATCTTTCCTTAAATGTTCCCTACCAATGTCTGTTTCGGAAGATACAATAAAAAACATAGGTCACTGTGTTTGTTTGAGAGCATTAGCGGGCAAAACTTCCCATACTTATGCCTCTACTAGCCCTTTTTTACGCGCCTCATTTCACTGTAAATTTTTCGGTAGCTGGAAGCAAGGGTTTTTAAAATAAAAATTAAAAAAAAAAATAATAGGTACAAAGTCTCGAGCGTAGGGGAACAATATGTTATGTAATATGTGGAAAAATCACGAAATTGTAATCGACATCGACTCAAAACGTTCCTCGAGTCGTTGTTTAAGGTCATAATTTGCATCATCAAGTAACGGGCTTTGTGCACGCTTTTAGCTATATCTTTTTATCCCTTCGATGATTTTTTAAGTTTCTCTAATTTTGATATGTACACAAAAATTATACAATGAATAATAGGCTGGAAAATTTCTCGAAAGTTTTGCTAGGTGTCGGAATTGCACAACTTTCTCAAATTCTCCCAAACTCCTCTCGTGTTTAGACGACGGAAAAAATACTCTCTTTTGCTTTAGCAGTAATCGACTCCCAACGAAGTTCGCCGGGCATATCTGCTCAGTTCGAAGAAAAACTATTTACTACAGTACAATTCCACTTCGACGCAACTTTTTTTAGAGTCAAATAATTCTAGCCTTAGGCAATTTTTGCTGGAGCACTTATCAACACGTTTGATGGCTTTACATTTATCAACAACCTCTTCTGTGGTCAGCAAAACCTTTTTCTAATTGCAGCGAGGATGTATGGAAACCGATCACTAAGCGATTGAGTCACAGACACGCATTGAAATTCGTTGAATATGGTAACATTTCGAGGATTTTGCATCGAGGCTGTATAACAAACTTGGCCATTTTGTCCTCATTCAATAAATAGAGAATAATACATAGGTGCGCGTTTTTATGGAATTTCTCTTCGAGTGTTCAACTCGCTATCTCATGAGTGAGAGAGCAAACGAGTAAGGTATCGAGCAAAAGAATAAATATAATCTCTTGGTATCGAGTTGAACTCGAGAAGAGAAGTTCCATATCTGCAAGCAACCATGTATTATCTTGTTTATCATATAAACACGGTAGGCCTCTAGTGAGAAGAAAAGCCGACTTTTCTAAAGAGTGAAATTATAGGTTTCACAATCTCCGAAAAAGAAGGTGGAAAGCTCGTAGGCGATGAGCCTCAAGATTAAAAAATGCGTTGAACCATAACAGAAACAGACAATAGGCGTAACTTTCTTTTCACAAAATTCTCAGTTTTTGATTTTTTCTTAACCAAAAGAAGGAATATTTTCACGTGCACGGCCAAAATCGACCCGTGGCAAATCTTTCAGTTGTCGATATTCGTTCTCAGCCGCGAGAAACACCATCACCCAAGTCAAAAACGTAACTTTCGGTTTTTCTTTTCGTATTTTGTTTTACTTCCGCTTGTAGGAAATTTTGAACGACACTGTCTGTTAGAAATACGACTTTTACCGTGCTTTAAGCAGCCATAATCCAAGAAAATCTCGACAAGCGACCCTGGATTGAGAACGGTCGACACTTTGCCGTTCATTTATTAACCTGACACAGCTGATTAGCGATATCAAACACATGTAAAAGAAAAATTATCGTAATACTATACGCGTACTGTTATGGCTTTTCACACGGCGGGAAATCCGTGTAAAACACCGCAGTTTATATAATAATTTTTTTCCTTAAGCTTTCTTATGAAGAAATATATGAAACATCTCATTGACCGAAATTCAACTTTTTAGCCGATCCGTGCTATAATTACAGAAACCTGAGCGATGCTGACAGAAAGAGCACATACAAAACACCCAACGGTGGAGAAAAATGTGACGACGATTCCTCATCCATAATATTCGGGAAATGGTATCGTTTCGTTGGAGATGCTGGAACAAAAATGCCAACACAATGCGTACCGGATTTCAGATGTAGTGCAGTCTTCTCAGGCTGGCTAGAAGGTGGTCACCCCACTTTGGCAGATGGTGAGGTTTCCACCAAAGTCTGCTTTACCAGAAGTGGAGATTGTTGCAAGAAATCAAATAACATACATGTGAAAGACTGTGGATCCTACTTTATATACAAACTACAAAAGCCACCTTCTTGTGATTTGCGCTACTGTGGCACAGACGGCGGTCCGTGATTATGAGCAAGTTGCTTATGATGTTCATTCATGTTTTTATTAGCATCATCATTTACAAGGATTTTTAAATCGTGTTAGGTGTGTTATGGATGTATTCTGAAGAATAGTATTTTCTAGAATTCTTAGTCACTGTGACATTGATACTCAAAATTTCTGATGAAATAACATGGAAAACTAGAACAGTTTATTAGGTTATGTAATTATGATGTATTTCTACCACAATAGTTGTGTTGTAAGCTTCGAATGTTTTAAATGTACATAAGAACTCAGCTAAGAGTAGTAGTTTCTTTTGGCGGAAAAGACTAAATATCTAAGAAGCTCTAACAAAAGATAGCTCAGTACTGTGATATACTTCAAAAATTTGTATTTTGAGGAGATTTGGAGGCAGTGGTGAGTCTTTGGTGTCAGTAGGGAGCTAAGTTATAGTCTGTCAGTGAGCTTGAGCACGCTTTTAAACGACAATTATTGTATAGCCTATATAGGAGTAGCTCCTGAGAAAGAATTATTACATGTTGTCTAATAAAATAGTTTAAATTGTAGGAGTATAGTATTACTTATTTCAATTAAATCATACCTTAAAAGGAAAATCTTGTGTAGAAAAACGTGTTGGGTGAAATGAGTAAAACCTCAGTGATGTCTATGCTAGTAGCTCTTTCAAAGCCATTCCAACAAAAAACAAAAAAAACATCAGAAAGAGGTCCGAAATGACGACCAGTTAAACCTAATTAAATAACCATTTCGGGCTTATTTGTGTGTATGTGACCGGTAACAGAGAAGGTGTGATCTGTTACTCTGGTTGCTTTAGTTATAACCGACAATGAACTTAGACAAATCGTACGTCCAAACCGAATTTGGTAATATGTGATAGTGAGATTCTCCCTCGTTTATTCGAGGTATAATTTGCAGTTTTAAACAAATTTGCCCGATAAAGAAGGGCTCTACTCTGTTCTGCTTGGCTCACTTCAAGCCAGAGGATATATATATATAAGACTATAACTGGGCTTGCACGTCTAAAACATCGTAGTTTGCATGGAACAAGGAAGGTAAAGAGCGCCGACAAAACAAATTGCAAGATTAAAAAAATTTGCGGACCAGCGAGCAGAAGAGAAGCGACGTCAATAATTTGTCAATTCAATCGGTTCAATAGTCATAAAAAACTGCCGGCTGAGTCTTCAATTGAAAGGTCAATCGAATTTCGGCCCTTCATCTTGCTTTGTAGCGGCAATCCATTTCGATCTCAATAAATAATTAGAAGGAAAGTTGAAGAAAGATAAATTCTCGCCACTTTAATTTCGTTTGTCGTTACTACAGAAATAAACGCAACAATGATCAAGCTAGCTTGTAATCGTCACTTAAAACACTGCAATGTAAAACAAATCCTATACCTTATGCCCGTCCAACCTCGATTGGGTGCGCCACGCAATCCAAGGTAGCGCTGCGTGAAAAAGGTGTATTATCATCTCTTCTTTAGCCAGCGTTCACCACAAAGTTAAGCTACTACGCTGCAGGAACGGCATTCCAAGCTATGAAAAGTGAACCAAACGTTTCATTCTCACGTAGATAGCTTTGAACAAAGTCAAGGAGGCTTGACAGATAACAAAGAGTAAAAATTTATTTACTTCAAGTAAAACACTGGTAGGATTTTCTAAAATAGTTGCCCAAATAAACGGTTCGTATGAAAGACCAGATCTTTGTATGTTAAAGATAACTTTCTCCCAAGCTTGGAGAAATTAACCAAAGTTGAAGTAACTGACGTTGTTTCCCAATTTCTCTTCATCTGCAAGGTAATTCACCGGCTTAATTTGGACTGAAAGGGAAACAAGGGGGGTTGATAATCTCGAACTAATAAAGCTATCAGAATTTGGAAATAAAGTATCTAAATAGGAATTCTGTGTCCAAAAATAAAATAACCTTCTCATCTTAGTAACAGAGCATCAACAAAAGTACTGAGTTTTTTCTCGATTTAAACTTGACGTGTCGAGAACAAGCTTTGTACCTGTTCCTTTTTCGGACACCTCGTTAATTACTTCAAGCCACATCCTTTTTTCCATGTCCACTGGCTTCAGCGACGGCAAAGGAAGGGTAAAAATATATAATTTTGATCTTCTGAAATATCCATTACGCCTGTTTCTTTAGTCGATCATCATGTGGTCAAAAAAATTGTAAAAACCTTGAAGCGCAATTATAGCACTGTTTATAATTATCTCACTGGCAGAATATTTCGCATGCTGACCACTCTATAGAGCTTATATTAATTAACACATTTTCAATTAGTTTTATTTACCTTAATCAGATCGAATGCCGCCTAAGCTAAATTCTGAACTAATCGCAACTCCTGCAAGGCACAAAGTCACTAAGAAAATCCACATCTCCTTATTGTATGATTAGAACTCTCTGCATACAAAAGAAGTAAACAAACATCAAAATCTTCTCAGAAGTCACCAGTGATGATCCTCGTAGCGGCTCAATTTAGTCTCTACCATGGCTTTTTCCAAAAAATTTTACTTCTTGGTCATTCTGTTGTCTTTATTGATAATTAAATTTGCGGGTGAATAAGGTGAGTTATACTTATATTTAATTTCCTCCGAGCAGACATAAATTCATTACAGTTGAGCTAGGTTAGACGCACATTCGATTTCATGTTTTTCATTTTCAGTTTTTTCCATAGATATAAAGGTTACATAGTTAATTAGACTTGAAACCATCCAGCCTAAACTTACTTATCAAATCTCCAAGATAGTTGTTGAAAAAATTTTTATGTCACATAAACGATAAGCCAAAGGCCGATGTGTTGATTTTTGGTAAATAATAACAACACATTTCTTTCTGTTTAGTGTTGTTAAGACAACCCAAGTTCTAAGCCGCCAATCGCAGCCCGCACATAAAAAATGCAGGTCTTCCTACTGTGTGATTAAAATTAAAACGGACTCCTGGTTAGTTCTGTTACAATGCAAGGACAGGAGAAACTAGTGGGTGACAAAACTCCCCGCTATCGAGAGGCAACAAGACTCTTCTTAAGTCTTCTCTTCTTCTCTTTACGCTGATCACCCTGGGGAAGTTTCTCTCTCTGCGATTAGTTAAGAAAAACTTTAGAGTTTAGAGCAAGTGTAGAATTTATGTCTCATCCACATGAATTGAACTAACTAGTGAGATCACCAAATCAAGGATATCAAAAAGCCCTCTCAGCCAAAGAAAAAAAAAATCAGAGGTTTTAACTCAGACTGGCTTCTTATAATAAAAATAAGTGCTGGAATGTTGCCTCTTTCAAACTGGTCCATTGTCTGATTATACCAAGTTACCGGTATGCTAAGAATTCCAAACTGATTTGTCAAAGAAACAGAGATGTGTGTCTTCAAAGATGCACTACGGCAAAAGCGAATTCAATAAATATTGTATTCAATAACAAATAAAATATAAAGTCGTAAAATGCACTAGATGCATCAGAAATGGCTTTAACTTCAAATAATTCTCATTTCTAATGAAATGCACGATTCAGTGTGTTGTGCTCCAATTTTCTTCATCGTAAACTATATCCATACTGCTACAGTGTTGTAAGTAAATTGAATTTATGATTGTAATAATTGTAATTGGAGTCTAATTTCGCTCGCTCATGAATATGATTAAAGACTGAATTGGACGACACGAAGTCCTGTTACCAATTAAACATCACCATTACAATTTAAGAAAAAAAAAACAAATACATGTACGTTTACTTGAGAAAATATCTTCGGTAGAGACACCGTTTTGTAGTGTTAGTGGTTTTTGCTACGGTTACTGTAATCAACTCTGTGATTGGGGGATTTGACGGAGTGATTTGCTGCTTTACCTGTCCGATTACAGAAGTCGAATTACAGTCGACTGTCCGATTGCATTTTCCAAATACGGTTCTACAGAATAATTAGTCCTAAAATAAAGCAGTTAGAGAATAGAAAACATTTGAGGACATTTGTAATGTTTATGACTATTCATGGAGGATGGAGAGGCGAAACTGTTATGTTTTGTTACTTATACAACTCGTAAGATTCATTATTCCATTGGACTGGCTAAGTCCCTCAAAAACGCAACTGGGTCTTTACCTGTCCAGGCTAAACCATAAATGGTGCCAATGAAATACGATTCAATTTCCTGAAGATTTCTGTCGCAAGATGGAATTTACATCTTCTCTTGTATTCCCTGGCAAACGACTCATAAACCACTTGATACGAACCGTAGAATCCCTTTGTGCAAGACTTCTGCTTAGCTCTATGCTACGTGGAACCCAACTGAGTCAGCTATAACGAATCAGTGACCAGCGGATCTCCAGTAACACAAAATGCGAACTGAATAATTCTACACACAATGAACATCCTCAGGATCTCAAGTCCTGGACAAACTACAGATATAAAGGAACAATGGTGAGTACATTTTTATCCTATTTGTGCTTTTCGTTTATCCTTGGTTTGGTGATTTTTGAATAACATTACTTGTCATTTGGTAGATTAGTATATAAAGTTTAGCTTGTAAATATTCGATAAAAAGTTGATTCGCTGGCATGTTGTTTGGCTGGTTGCGCAATGTTTGTTTGCAATTAGTTTGTATGGTTGATTGGTTGGCTGGCTGGTTGGTCGGTTGATTTGATCTCATGTGACATTTCAATTTTCATTTTATAGTATCAAACTCTACCTGACCCTTTAAGTTATCTATCGATGAATACAACTGTCAGTTCTATTCAGCCAGCCATTCGTCCGTCTGCTCCTCCAGATGTCTGAATCCCCTTTTTCCCTCCTGCTTTCCTACCCATCTGCCTGACTAATAGGCTGGCTGTCTAGCCATTTATTTTTTTTACCCAACTCACATTTTTTTTTTTCAAAATCAATCCATCATATATGTGCTGGTTCTTTTCCCAACAGTAAGATGGATGCAGATGACGCCATCCACAGTTTGCTTTGGACCAAGAGATGGTTTGTATGGTTTCTTTAGAACTTCCAAAGCGGTAACATCATTACATTCAAATTAACGTACAAATCTGGTTACGTCACCTGTGATACACGAAAGTCAAGTTTTCACTCCAAACGGGAATGCCTTTGGAACCGTCTTATTCCCAACCAAATGACCACGTTGATAACTGACAAAAACCGTAATCTTCTTCTCCCAAAGAGTGACGGTGGAGACGAACCAAGAATTTCAAATCTGATACAGCGAGGACTTGTTCAAATGGGGTTATGGCGATAATAGGTACGAAAAGACGTGTGTTGCAGTGTATGGTTTTTATGTTTGAGTTGTCTCCCAAATTAGAAAGTACATTGAAGAAGAGAGTGCCAAAATTGTTGTTCACGCCTTTATTACTTCAATATTAGATAGCTGCAACTCACTGCTATATCGTCTACCTCAGCATCTACTTTGAAGATTGCAATCCGTTTAAAATACAGCAGCTCGAACCCGTTACACGTACCAGGAAATTTGATCACATGACCCCTATCCTAAAGGAGCTCCACTGGCTTCCTGTCCGTCACTGTATAGTTTATAAAATTTTTTCACTTGTCTAAATAGCTGTCAATGGAGCAGTGCCTTGCTACATCGGT